GTGTTTTGTAGCTTTTTAGTCCTCGGGAAAAGCACAAGTTTGATATGGGGATATTTGGACCATCTTGTCGCTTACGATGGCCCACTCCATTCTGCATTTTCCAAAACGGGACCAACCCCTTTAGTAAAAAAGGGTTTATTTTTGGTAGCTCCCAACCTAAGGTGGGACATGGAGTTTCACCAGTTTTCCAAGGGTATAATGACTTCCCATTGAGGGCGGATCTAATGTTTTTTTTTCCCCGTAACTTTTTTGGGGGAAAATAAATTTGGAAAGAGGGGAACCCCCCCTTGCTCCTGCTTGGAAGCGTCGGGAAATGGCTGTAGATGGTGGGAGGGGGATTCGACCAAATTTAAAACCCGGAGTGGTCCCCTTTGAACACCAGCTACAGATGAAGTGGACCAAAAGGGACTTTTCACGATAGCCTTAATCACTTTTTTGGGGAAAACGTTTTCTGGATTTTCAGGATTGCTCAGAGGGTTTCCAGTGTGAATTTCGGTTTTCTCTCATTTTTTTTTGGTGATAAATCCGGGTGGGGGGATTTTGAGGTGGGGGCGAGGGGGAAGGGGGCGTGGGACCCTGGGATTGTGCTTTCCTCCTCTGAAACTGAAGACTGAAAATGAAAAAGTAGACAGACTAGAAAACCCCCGGTACCCTGTCGCACCCAAGTTTTTTGCAGATTTTAAAAAATTATAGGTAAGGGGTTGGGGTCAGTCCTAGGGAAAAATCTGTCCCAATAGGTAAATCGGAAAAATTTTTCTGTGCCGGGCCCTTTTAAAGGGGCCCAAAGAATTCAAGTTTTATGAGCGGGGTACTTTCTCCGCCCCTTTAAAAAGCCTCGACTTGCAAAAGCAAAGGGACTCGAGACTTGACCTCTTAAATTTTTTGTTTTTTTTTTTTTAAAAAAATCCCACCCCAAAAGGGAAAAAACCAGTGCTGGGCATTGTATGCAGGAATATGGAAGCTGGGGGGTCGGGAAAAAATCCCAAAAAGGGAAAGTGATGTTACCCTTCCTATTAGGTCTTTCAAAGTTTTCTGACAAGGGGGATGCCCTTTGGGGCCCCAAAGGGGACCCCTTTTGGGTTTCCCCGATAAATCTGAGCCTAGATTTATCTTCTGTTTCTTGTTAGCTTTTTTGATGGTGGAAAAACCAGGGGTTTTGGTTCATTAAGGGGTTTTTACAATTGTAGGTCCCCCTGAATAAACCGTCTGTAGTATCCAGCAAAACCCTTAAAAAATTTTTGAAGCTTTTTTAAAGATTTGTCGGGAGGGGGCCCAGGTCTTAAAGGGCCGAAATTTTTCTCAGGGTGGGTTTTTCAACTCCCCCCTTCAAAAAACAACATGACCAAGGTGGTTACTGAGGTCGGGAAAAAAAATTTTACACTTCTTTGGTCCCAAATTTTTAAACCCTTTTTATGTCACCCAATCGTTCAAAAACACCCCTTCAACGCTGTTCATGTTTTTCCCCGGGGGACGTTTGAGAAGATAATCAGGTCGTTTTTGAACACCAAAACTTCTTTTTTTTTTCATGTCGCCAACACACTTTTCCATCGGTCTCGGGGAAGTTAAAGGGCCCGCTTTTGTTTTTTCCCTTGGGGGCCCATCCTGTTTTAAATTCCCAAAAAACCCAACAGGACACACAAATGCAGTCTTATGTTGTCTGCTTTTTCCCAATTTCCCCTGATAGTGCCTGACTTAAGGTCTAAAACGGAAAAACCACTTGGGAACCAGCAAGGCAGTAAAAGCCTCTTCCAGTTTGGGAAAAGAGCATGGGCCCGTCCTTAATGGTCTGCATATTCAGCTTCCTGTAATCCACACACAGACGAATAGAACCATTCTTTTTGCGAACCACAACGATTGGGGAAGCGAATGGGGACTCAGATTCCCGTATAACTCCAGAATTCAGGAGTTCCTGTAGATGTTGTCTCACTGCATCCACATCGTTGGGGTGTATTGGACGCGCCCTTTGCTTAAAAGGTGTCTCATCACTGAGCCCAATTCTGTGCTTCACTTTATCAGTATGACCAAAATCCAGGTCATTCTGAGAGAAAACATTTGGCATGGTGTTCAACATTTTTGTTATTCGCTCTTTCCATTCAGTGGATAAAGGTGAATCCCCAAAATCAAAGCTCAGTTCTGTGGAAGACTCCGATTGAGAACAATGTGGTTCATTGACAGTATGTTCTTTGTGTAACACCTGTACTATAGCATTAACATCTGCCACAATACTATTGGGGGGAATGACTATGTCATGATTTGTGTCGTTTCTTAGTATAACAGGAAGATGACATGGATGCTTGCTGGGTAAAGTTACTGCAATCGCTGAAACGAGTAAGCCATTTGGTAGAGAAGAAGCTGATGGTTGCTCAAGAATGACATCTCTCTGCATGTTCGAACGATCAACAGGAACAAAAGCTTCAACGACAGCAGTCTGCCTTGCAGGAACAACTTTAGGCAACCTGCCGGTTAGTTTTGCACAACCAAGGCTGCTGTGGCTAAGCTCCCTTTGTCGTATCTCAAGTATTTTGAGAACAGCCTGATATCCATTCATCAAAGGCCGAAAAGATGGACGTTGCAGGTAATCAGCGTAAAGAACATCAAGTGTGTTTGTGCCTATAAGCACCTGTTCATTGGCTGCAGAGCGGAGGTGAGGAATAACCAAGGCCAAAGTGTTAATTTCACTATCAGAGCCAATAAACTCTTTAGGAAAGGTGATGGTAAGCTCAACATATCCTAAATAGGGCACAAACTGTCCGTTAGCACTCTCCACTTCAAGCAAATCATTTAAAGAGTGAATGGCCAGATCAGAAAGGTGTTCTTCATAAAAGGACTGGGGCACAGTTGTGACTTGTGAACCTGTGTCCAGGAGACAGTTTGTGTCTTTCCCTGCAATAGATACTTGAGCTGTGGTTTTAGTTCCCACAAGGCCATGTGGCAATTTTGAACCCTCTATCTCAACACTCTTGACAGCAGATTTCATGGTTTTGGGACTGGAGTTTTCTAACTTCGCTCCCATACGTCCCTCTATGGGAGCAGACACTAGTTTAAATTTGTCTCGCTTTGAGAAGCATTAGAGACTTCCCAAGCAGCCTGCTTTTCTTTCAGCTGTTTTTTCTTAGCTGCTACAAGTGAAGGATTTGGTGCTTTATCACAGACTGAAACAACATGGCCATCCTCTCCACACTGGAAACAGTACCAGGGACGCGGTCTGCCATTTGCTTTAAGTGTGGAAGTGTGATCACGGCTTGTTTTTGGTTTCACAACATGGGCTTCATGTGTGACACATAAAGGAACTGACTTTGCTTTTTGTTGCTTAGGTGTTTTTGGCTTTTGACTATCTGACACAATGCTCTTCACCTGAACGCTGAGATCAGCAAGTTGTTGTTTAAGCATCTCAAGATCAGTCTTATTTATCAATTCATTTGTGTCATGTGCAAGATGCATTTGTGACGTGGCCCGCTGCCTGCTGAGGTTATGGCCAGACTTAGCATGGCTGAAATGCTGTCGCATGCGATTCATTTTTGCAGCCTGTTTATCTTCTTCTGTCCTAAGAAGGAGCAACAATTCTGCAAAGGTAGGAGGTTCTTCTTTCTTGTGTTCTAACTGAAGATCAGCTATTAAAGTGTTCTCCCAACAGCCTCTGCAGAACTGCTTTAAAAGCTGTTGGTCAAACTCGGGAGCAGAGACACCGCCACGTCTCATTGTTTTGCTTAAAGCAGTGTGCAGTCTCTGCAGGAAAACAGAAGGTAACTCTCCATCATTCTGGAACGTGCTCATGAACCTAGCATAAAGCTCGTCACCATCTTCAACTGTCCCATAGGCGGAGTCAAGCAACTTGAGATAAGTGGAGGGACTAGACTGTGGGCTCAAATGTTTGATCATTTCAGAAGCAGGAGGAAGGAGACTGTCTAATATACGATGTGTGCAGTGCAAGTGTGACACAGATGGATCTCTGATAAGAACCTCAACACTTGCACGCCATGTATCATAATCTGTTTCATGACTCGGACGTGGACTCTTGCCCGAAAAAGCTCTGAGTCTACTGGGTGAAGCAAATTGGGGCAAGTTATCATTACTGCGCACCACATGCTCAACCACCACTCGCTGAACTGCAGGTGGATTTACATCGATTAGGGGTATAGCAGAGGATTCAGATGGGACAGAAGTCTGTGTGGGGTTGAGATCAATCAGGTTTTTAGTGAAAATGGGAGGGGAGAGAGGCTTACTTGGATCATTATCTTTTTGTGGGGTTGGACTCTCTGAAGCTAAGGATTCTGGATCAGTCTGAGGTGATTGGGCATAGGCCCTTTCTGCAGATGAAACCAGATTTTTAAGTTCCTCTTTCAACATCTCTGCTAATGAATTTCCACTCAGCCTGGCAATTTCTGAGAGCTGTTCCATGTACATTTTAGTAGCTTTGCTTCTGGCATCTATAGTGTAGACACTTCCTAAAGCCTTTAACTCATACACAATGCCTGCTTGAGTCGTGCTTGGAAGCTGAAGAGGCAACAATGGGTCCAATGTCTGCATGGCAGTTTCATGTGTAAACTCAATAATCATGTCTTTATGGTATTCTGATTTAGGATCATCTAAGCGAATGTAACGGTTAACGGAACCATACTTCTGGAGAAAGGTTGACACTTCCTCATCTGTTTCTGACCCTGTTAAACCACTAACAAGCACAGAATGGGGAATTTGTATGGACTCCCGGAGTACCACATCCATTTTTTCTTATTATTCTTTTTCTTGACACGCTATATCAATGGGTGTAAGATGTCTGACACTTAAACACACACACTCGTGCTCCTGGCTGGCTCGCCAAAATTTCTTATGTAACACAGTAAAGAAGGGTATTAAGTATTTTAGATAAATGGGCCAATAGGTTCGGCTATGGGAGCATAGTGGGGTGTTTAAATGACACACAAAAGCGGTTGGATGGATTTAAAGAACAACTGACTTTAGTGATATGAAATGTAACATTGTACAAAACAGTTGTATGAAACACAAAATCATGAAAATAAAATACACACAATAAAATCAACAATGAAATAAAATAATAGCAATACTTGGCCAAGTTCTAATTCTCAGTTCTAAATATCTTGGGTGCACCCTCTTAATATGAATTCAAATTTGTAATAAACAATTCAGATTAAATTCAGTTCCAATTCAGGTCTGACTCATCATCATTCACCTGAGGAGAATGTCCACCACAGTGGTCTGTTCTAATGTCCGAAATAAATCTTGTAAAAAAAATAAGGTCTTAAATCCCAGAATGAAACAATAAAAGTGAAAAAATGTAAGTCAATGGTCCCGTGCATAACCAACTGTGCGTGAAGATGTGAGTGAAACAGGCCTACCACACCGCAGGGTGCAGCAGGACTCCAAATGGAAAAGAATGAGTCCAGTTCTTTCTCTAAGTCCAGGTGGGAAGGCTCGCCATCAATCACCGGAGGAATCCACCTCAGGAATAATCCAGCATAAAGAAAAAAACCTGACCTGTCAACAGACAGGACCAGCAGAATAACAGAATTTTTATTAAGCTGTTCTAGCTTTAATCCCTGAATCATGCTTCTCTAGACATCATATCCAACATCAATGTGTTAAGTTACTCAAATTTGAAATAACCACTTCCCTTTTACCTCAATGCAGTATTTCACCACATTATCAATTCACTTATTCTTCTAATTGTAAAATATTTTTCAACACAATAATAAAACATTACTTTTTAACCAACTCAGTAAAAGTTTACATTTTAATTATTAACTACATCCAACTAAACGCTATTATTTAACAGCAATGTGATAAACAGAACAAAAACCTAAAGGAAATGCACAAAATATGCTTACCGATCTCACTCCAACCTGTTTGGGACAACAATATGATGGCTCTCAGTCCGGACAGGTGGGGCACTTCAACTGAATGGAGAACAAAATGAACCTCCAGCAACTAATAGCTAAGAGCTAACAAGGCTAGCAAGGTAGCTTTAATGCTCGGCAGAAAACTTTAGTTTTTAACTCACCTCAACTATTTCCAGCTTGAACTGTGGATGATAAACGGTAATTTTAACTGCAAACTGTTTGTTTTAAGTTTGTATCCGAACTATAACTGTCAGACTACCACACTGCACAGCTCAGCAGTCTCCTCCTCACGCCAGAACTAGTACTGCAGACGCGGGGAAGCAAGACAGGACCCGCGCGGCAGTGGTCCTCTGACTCTTAAAGAGACATCGCCATTTTATGTATGTTACATACAGAACCCGCCTTTTTGTTGATTTGTTGATACAGCAGTATGGAGGACCAACTCTGCCATATTTAAAAATAAATACAGAAATAAATAAATGCTTAATAAATAAATAAGCATACAATTAATTGCCACCAAAAATACAAACAACAAATAAATGTAAGTAGAAATTAAATTATACAGCTAGTCATAAAGGTATATAACTCTTTTAATTGGCTTCTTTATTTCTTTGCCTTTTTAATATTTACCCTATTTATTTTTTGTCTTTTATTATCTTCAACTTCATTTTTTAATTACTTATATTTTTAAGTATTTATTTATGTGCATGTTATCATATTTTTGTCTGTTTTATTCTTCCTTTGTATTTTTTTACCCTAGTTATTTCTTCGCCGCTATTTCTTTCTGCCTGCCCTTTTAACATTTCTGCCTGCCAATATAATATAATTTCTACTTACATTTATTTGTTGATTGTATTTTTGGTGGCAATTAATTGTATGCTTATTTATTTATTGAGCATTTATTTATTTCTGTATTTATTTTTAAATATGGCAGAGTTGGTCCTCCATATGCAGCTCTATCTACAGCATATTTACATGCATGAAATGTCCCTTTCATGTTGCCTTAACTGCTGTATGTCAAGTTACTGAGGAACAAATGGGGTAAATGTGTGTTCAGAGTAAACATTACATAGATGTCTGGTACCTTGTTTGGTGCCTTGACCCATTTATTTCTACTGTGTAGTAATGCTCACTTTAGTACAGCTCAGTCCATAGATCTCTGATGGGTAAGTTTTTCTTTCTATAGTTTCTTCATGTGCAAATGCTGCAAAGCTGCCTCTCTGACAGTCAATCTCACACATCTGCCACTCAGCACCTGTGTCTTACCTTAATACCTTTCCTGTCATAAGGCCCCTCTAGAAGTAGTGTTATCATTCTTCTATCTCCTATTAAGTGAGATCACATTGTACGATGTATTATTAATATGAACTGTTTCACATGAAACACTAGTACTGTACATACTATTCTCACCAAACTGTGATAACTGTGATTAAATTCAGTGTAAACAAAGGCCATATGTTGCCACCCCTAAAAAATTCCTGCCCCCCTCTTGCCACCCCATAAATATTTTTCTAGATCCGCCCCTGATCTGGAGCAATCACTGAAGCGATGTTAGCTGGTCTTTTTAAGGCAGGGCTGCAATCACGTTGAAATGTGTTTTGGGGGATAAAGTTCATTTTCTAGGCAAATACTGACTTTGCAATTAATTGCTGTTATACTGATCTGTCAGGACTCCTGTTTTTGTATCTGTGTTTCTGTGTTTGTCTCCCTTCATCAACCAGGAGGCACCTGGTTCTGGTCCGCCTCCTCACACACCTGCTGATGGTTTCCTCGTTAAACGGAGTGTTCTTAAGCTGCTGACTGCCACTACCTCGACGCCAGAGTGTTTGCCAGTTATGGATACTCTAGCCAAGCTGAGTTTTGCTGAGCTAAACTTAGTTTTTTGTCGACCTGAGTTTAACTGTGTTTTTGTCTTTGCCTCTCGGCACGAAGTCATCCAGCAAACTGGGTTTCTTGGACCTTCTCTCCCTGGAAGGATCAACTGAGCCTTAAACTGAGCTGGGGTTCAAACAGGAAGTTTGGATCCACTTTCCTAAGAGATCGTTTGAGCTTCGCACTGAGAAAGGGATTATTCTCCACTACGACCCGTTCAAGTACCGCAGGAAATCTGAATGGCAGTCACTTTCTCCGTTCACCTACTAACAACCGCATTCTGGGTAAACCCTGTTCCGCCCTCCACCAAATCAGACAAACACTGGAACTACAGTACAGACGGTAGTCAATGATTCAACAACTTCTCTGGAAATGTGAGTCGGCAACCAAAACCTCTTCTCCAAGTTCACGAGTCAAATTCCCTACTGAGCCTGAACTAAACGCTGTATCTTCCCCTTACTTTTCAGTTCCGGTTGAACAGTGTTCAGAGCAACACTTCTCTCTCTGTTTTACCTCTTCAATAAAACCCGTTAAACCTTCTCCCTGGTCTCCCTGTTCGGTTTTCTGCATTTGGGTCTGAACCTTTGTACGATCATGACATGATGACTATTTATAACATTCTGGAGTATATGCAAATTGCCGTTATAAAAACTGAAGCAGTAGACCTTGTAAATATTAATATTTGAATCTTTCTCAAATTCTCAAAACTTTTAGCCATGACTGTACTTTCAGTATTGTAATGTTAGCACAGTCCACTAGAGGGCACCACTCTATCTTAAATAGTGTAGTGAAGGATGTTCTTTTTCCAGGTGGATCATCAAAATATGTGGTCCTTCCAATTGTCAATCATTCTGGTGTTATTTTTACACAAGTGTTCGTCGTCATTTTCACTTACCGGTGGTGAGTCTAACATAGTGGAAAAACTGCAAATCTCTTTTAGAAGGTAAGCTTGTATGAGCGATGCAAACAGCAGCTTTTAAACAGAGTATCCATGAGGAGAAATGGGCTTGTGCACGCTCTCACAAGCTTTTAATAGACGATCCCTCTCAGGAGCGGGTCTAGGGGTTGTGCATGTGCATTTTTTTGGAGAGGGCAGATCTTTTCAAAACTTCCTGAAAATTCTTCACTATACCTTTAAGCTGAGCCTTACTGATATTTACAAGAGTAGTGATACAGGAGCGGAGACATGCTAGAGCAAAAATATGAATCGATCCATAGTCCAATCTGGGATTATTTGCCCTATTTAATGGAGACAAGGATGCAAAGTGAACTCTATGTGGTTCTGTTTGTAAATATGAACCATAAACTCCATAAATTATCAACACATATAGTTAGCATTAATTCTTGCTCCATGGCGGAGAAGCGTCAACTTTTCTACTGTGCTCAAAATGCGAGAATGTGATGATAGAAAACCTCTGTGAGATCACAAAAAAGAGATGCTTGCAACAAGTGCGGTAGATTGGAAAGGCTTTTGTGATTTAATCCACTTCATGGAGTCCAGTTTTAACCTTCCTCTGAGTGAAGCCAGAACTCACTGTTCACCAGACCTTCTAATGGCACAACATCTTCCACCAAATTGTTGGATTTAACTGGGTTTAACTGTAAAGTGCCTTGAGATGACATGTGTTGTGAATTTGGCGCTATATAAATAAACTGAATTGAACTGAATTGAACTAAAAACAGAAATCTCTATCACTGTTAGTTTAAACATCAGTGAAACAAACATATAATAATGGAATATTTTTTTCTAACTTAGCATACTGTTAAAGAGATTGTGTGCTTCATCTTACAGTAACAGCCATTCAAAATGGCCCTTCCCAGTCAAACGCCAGTCAAATGGCAGCCCACTTCCCTGCAACTCCCAGCAGAATCCCCTCCAACTTCCAGCCACTGGGGTGAACCCCTACATATGCAAATTCTTTTACTCTGACTTCACACTTTCACTGAATCACAGGGACTGAGCAAGAGATGATGCTTCTCTTTAGATCTTAATGTTGACAAATTATGAGAGAAAAAATATTTTAATAAAAACATTGCTGTTTAAAAAGGAATTGTAGTACTACTACTGTATGAAAAAGACCCTCTTGATACAAGAGAAAGCAAGTTTGACTCAACATAATTGGTCAGGGAGAAAGATATGAAAATGTTTAGTAAGTTTAGGTGATGAAACAACATTAAAAGGTTGAAACGTCTCACAAACTCTGTCAAATCCATCATCTTTAAATACAGTATTACCCATCTAAAAACCCAATGAAAGTGTAGGTAGGAGAGCATTCATGAAGGAAGTCTAAAGCTCAGGGGACAGATTCTGATGTCAGGACAACTATGCGACATGAAGTCCAACAATCAATCGATTGAATAGTGGAAGTGGAATACCAGAGAGAAAGAGAAATATCAGCTTAGTTTATAAATGTTGGAGATTTCCCTGTTTTTCAGTGTAGTCCTGTTTCTCTGACTGTGACTAAGTGCATGTGCTCTCTTCATCCTCTGACATGGTGGCTGGCTCTGAGCTCGTCTGCCTGGTCCCCTGAGGGATTGCCTTCGAGTCAATAAGTCGATGCAATCAACTGGTTTTCCTTTGATAGAAAACCTTGAATCCATTTGTCAGTATGATCTGGTTGAACTGTAAAGTGCCTTGAGATGACATGTGCTGTGAATCGGCGCTATATAAATAAACAGAATTGAATTGAATTCGAAAAACGAAAGCAACTGCTAAAGGAAAGCGGCAAAATGCTCCATATTTAGTTGTTATTCTTGTCGATGTCTGCGACAAAACAAACATGGATAAAGGGAAAGTTCTCTGAAAAATCTGTGAGAAAACTTTCATTTTGGGGACATTATATCAATGAAGACTCTTAATTCTTTATTCTAAAAGGTGCTCTGGTCAGGTGAGACTGTAATGTTTTCACCTAAAACACATGTAATACAAAAACCACCATGAAGACATGGTTTCTACCTTGAGATATGGAGGTGGCAACATTATCCCGCGGGGTGCTTGTTATCAGCAGGGGCAGGGAAGCTATTTGGGTCGATGGTAAGATGGATGGAACTAATCACAAAGCAGTTGTAGAGGAAAGCTTCCATATTTGAAGTAATCTAGATAGTTTTGTATGAATACATAAGAGGATGTTTAAACAAGGGAAAAATTAAAGCATCTTCAGGCTTTTTCAGAGCAGTCCTGTTACTCTGGCTGTTACTGAGCTGGCTCAGAGCTCGTCTACCTGGCTGTGTGTTTCCTGGACTGGGCCGCCTGTCGAGCTAGTTTACAGCTGCCTTTTGTATCTCTGCTTCTTATGGTGTGTCTGCTTCTGTCTCCTTGACCCCCGGTAAGCCTCGGCAGATGGCCGCTCTAACTGAACCTAGTTCTGCTGGAGGTTTCTTATTGTTAGGAGGGAGTTTTTCCTCTCCACTGTCGCTACAAGCATGCTTAGTGTGAGGGATTGCCTTCTATTCAATGAGTCGATGTGATCACTGGTTTGCCTTAGATAGAAAACTTTGAATCAATCTGACTGGATGATCTGGTGAACTGTAAAGTACCTTGAGATGACATGTGTTGTGAATTATTGGTATAGAAACAAACTGAATTTAAATGAATTCTCTAAGAGAACCGAGTTCTGGCTCGATATCCAACATCCATCCCCATCATCACCTATTTTATAAACACAATGCTGGAAATAAAAAATAAAAATACTTACAGCAGCTACAAACTGATTGTAAATGTAAATATCTGTGTCAGCTATGTGTATGTGATCATTCAAGCCTCAATAAATAAACACTGAAGACGACGTTAGCTTAGCCCAAATGAAGTACCTAGCTGAACATCATTCCGTCCATTTTCTTTGTCTTTATCCAAGGCAAGGTTCACGAAGGTAGCAGTCTAAGCATAGATTCCCAGACTTCCCGATCAACACACACCTCCTCCAGCTGCTCTGGGGGGACCCCGAGGCGACACAGGGCCAGCTCAGAGACATAGTCCCTCCAGTGTGTCCTGGGCCTTCCACAAGGCCTCCTCCCAATAGGACACGCCTGGAAGACCACCCGAGGGAGGCGACCAGGAGGCATCCAGAACAGATGCCCACCTCAGCTGGCTCCTTTCAACGTTAAGGAGCAACGACTCTACTCCGAGCTCCTCACGGGTAACTGAGCTTCTCACCTGATCTCGAAGGTTGCCTCCTTTCAGTCATTACTCCTTTCATGACCATAGGTGAGGGTGGGAACGTAGATCGGCAAATCAAGTACTTTTATGCCCCGACTCAGCTCCCTCTTCACCGTCACCGACTTCACTGTCCTTGATTTTAGTCTTTCCATAAGGGTCTTCTTAGCTTCTCTTCGTCTAATCCGTCACCTAGGAACTTTTGCCATGGGAGACCCTACCAGGGGCATAACGTCCCGGCCAACATAGCTCCTAGGATCATTCGGGCACTCACACAACCCCACCATGTTAGGGTGGCAACTTGCAGGAGTTACCTAACTGAACATTAATAATTTTATGACATATGGCTACTGCTATCAGAACACACACTCCTTTATTAAGCATCACATTTGTATTTTGTTACATTTCTCACTTTATTGGAAAATCTGAAATTACTTTAATACTTCATTGATCAGGAAAGTAAACATATTCCTCAGGTTAAGGACTAGAAAAGATAAACAAGCTGTCAGAGAACCCAGAGCATGAGAGCAGATCGTTTTAGTAACTCCCCAGGGATGATTTACAAAGGGATGCTGTAGCTTTGTCTCACTGTTTGCTAAGCTAATAAAAAGTAAGCAGCATATAAAGCTGAAGTATTTTCTAGAGCTAAGAGGCAAAATAATGTGGCCACCTTCACAAACACATCTTATGTTTCAAAAATACATTTTTGCTTGTGCTTGTTTTTAATGATTAGCTCAGATCATCTCTTCTAGTGACATTACAAGGAAAAATGGAGTTGAAAATAAGAAAAAGAGTGTTCTCGAGTGAAGGCTTAGACACTCTTCTTTGTGCAATCAGCGCTGCTGTGATCACGCTCTCAGTAATGACAATGATGTTTTCCAAATGTCCCAGATAATAGAACAGCTGCTGCTTCTGTTAATGAGAACAGCAGAGCTATAACTGCCTCCAAGGTGTACTTTACTTTCAGTCATCGCCTGAAGGAAGGCTTTCCTGCCAGTCCGCCTGTAATAAGGTACTTCTCAGGTTAAGGATGGGCTCAGTTTGCTGTATGCATGTCTTAATCCACTGTGGTCGGACACACGTGAGAAAAAAGTGGACATAAAATAGTTCAGGACAGTCTGAACATGATGAGGGATTTAAAGTCATAGGGGAATCATATTTAAATGTCAAATCATTCTGGCTTAAACATGTATATAAATGTACTCTTTTTCAGACGATATTGTCCCAAAATTTAAGATCCTGTCTTAAAAACTGTGGGGGTTTTTTCGCTATCTTATGCAGGCCATTTAGTTATACGTCAGCCTGTACAGCTAAATTCGGCCAATCATATATCAGCGGTCATCTGTCAATCTAATCTTTTTCAGTCATAGCATCATGTTTCATATGTCGCAGTAGTGGTTGAAATAAGAATAATTTCCTTTCCCATTGAGTTCCGTCCCAGTGTTCACAGGGATGGACGTCTGTGTCTTCAGCAGGCGTAGAGCTAACAGAACTGGCAGCGTTGTGAGGCAAGGGCTCAAACATGTACGGCTGGAAGCCTTCTACACCAAACCAAGCTTCTGCCGCCCTGGCGTCCTCTTCCACAACATCTTCGTCTCCTCCTCTTGCATGTTTCCTCTGTCCATAGCGTTCCTTGACAGTGTGGTTTCTAAGTCACCAATTTAGTGCTACTTGTTCCCAATGTCATTTCCCATTGGGAACCTGCTAGCACTAAGTTGCTAACTGGATAGAAACAATGCTTCTGATAAACCGGCCACAATCCAACTTGCTTGCGAAACCTTCTGCGAAACCTTCTGCCACATAAATCCGTTGTGGTCGACGTAGCAATACAAAGTGACTGCAACATCAAGAAAAAGGAACATAAAAAACTAGAGAAATACAAGGGGCTTAGAGAAGAGCTGGAAAACCTGGAAGGTCACAGCATCAGTGGTACCCGTGGTCATTGGGGCCCTCGGGGCAGTGAAACCCAAACTTGAGGAGTGGTTAGAGCAGATCCCTGGAAATACATCAGACGTCTCGGTCCAGAAGACTGCAGTTCTAGGAACAGCAAAGATGCTGGGCAGAACCCTCAAGCTCCAAGGCCTCTGGTAGAGGACCCAAGGGAGACCACCCGCGGTGGGAGAAGAAGAGTTTTACATAGTAAAACGTCTATATATATATATATATATATATATATATATATATATATATATATATATATATATATATATATATATATATATATATATATATACGGTATATATATTTAAATGAATGAATACCAAAGAATTTGTCACACATCTATTTCTTTCAGCATAAGCTATCATCTTTAATTAAATCTGAGAGGCAAAGGTGTTGCAGTCCACAGTCCAGAAGGTAGATGTGTTTGGGAAAACACAGCTGAAGTCATTACCTAAAGGTCTCAGCTGGTCACTCAGCCTCTCTCAGGTTTTATTGAGTGTCTTATCAACTCGGCTCAGATATATTCAGAGCGTCTCAGATTGGATGTTTTCATAGGTTGGTAATGAAAGCTGAAGACTATGATATGTATACCTTTCCAGAAATGGACGGTGTGGCGTGAATGAAAATTGTTGGTAAATATGACTTAAGATTTCCTGGTTTAAAACCATCATCTCATTTCTCATGTTGTTCCCATAACCACTCAAATTCAGCAATATTTTCCATTAAAAATGAATTGCTGAAGTTATTGAAGGGAATAAAAAAAATATATAATTTCTATTTAAAAATTAGTTTTCACATAGTTTTACTTTCGATTGAGTAAATGTTGTTCCATTACTGTTTTAAGCAAAGAACACGTTCTGTTAATGAAAATTTGAAAAGGTAAATCCAGAAATTAAACTATGGAAAACATTTTAACCAAAAAACTTTTTTTGTAAAAGATGTAAAACGTGCCAAGGATGTCCTCACCAGTCCTTCAGAAAGTTACCCCTGTAAAAAACAATCAACGGATATAGTATAAGAGATACAATAAAGTAACACCTTGATACTATCGCTGAAGTATAAGAAGTATTATTTAATCTGACATGTATGGAAGCGAATCTCTGAGTAACTGGAACCAAGCACCTGAAGTTGTTTGTGAAAGTGCACTTGTGCATGTAAAGTTTATCCAAAGGAAAAATGCTCAATAGTGATTGTGAAGAACCGAAGACGCTCCTCCCCCTCAGAGCTCCGAGGCGAGTGCCGGGAGACCAAAAGCCCAAGACCTCCAAAGGGATCTCAAGAGCAGAGGCGCCCAGGAGGGGCAAATCCAGGAAATCCGACCCCCCATAAAGGGAGAAGAGACGGCCCCGAGGAAATACCCCAGCCACCGCAATGCCGTAGCCCCCAGGAGCCGCGGGGACGAGTCCGCGGGCTCTGCCAGCCATCCCGAAGTGGAGCCGGCCATGGGCCCCAGGGACCCGAGGCCCCAGGGGCACCCCGCCCCCCGGGGGTAGCCCCGATCGGGCCCCGAGGGGCCGGGCACAGCGAAGCAGATACCAGGAATAAGCCAGTACCCGCCCGGGCAGCCACCCCCAAACCCTGAGCTCCACCAGTGCACCGAGGAGCCCAAGCACCAGCCAGCGGAGAGAGGGCAGGACGGGGGCAATGGACTCCACACTTAGCTGGGATTTGAGATGTTCTCCTTCTTTACTTTTCAATTCATTTTATATTTTTTATGTTTTTCTATTAAATCTGCTTCTTTTTAACTGTTTTTTATAGACTGAAATTGCGTTGTTTCTAACGCTCACACTTTAACGATACCACTGCTAGCTGTCAAAGCAAGTTAAAACTCACTATGAAAAACAGAAATAAAGAAAAAATAGTTTGAAAATCTATGAAAATCTGTGAGAATAAAATTTTAAACATAAAAATGTTAGTAAATCCAATCTAACAAAACAGCAAGGTTTCCCTGCAAATCTTCCTTTTTTAACAAGTTTTTTCATTTTTTATTGGTTTAGTTTTCAAATTTGCATTTACAAAGGTGGTTTACGGTTTTAAACATTAATGGAACAAAATGCACTCCATAATTTTCTGGAATAACTGTAGCTGCTCAGAAGTAACTTGTAATTTCATAACCTCTGTCTTCCAGGTTATTAAAATGTAAAAGATTATAAACCTTTTTAAACACAAACACCCAAAAAGGATCAGTTTGATGAAAATGAAGCTGCTGTGTGCAAGTTTGCAAACAGTAAAGGTCAAGTGCGGGGTCAGAGCAGATTACCAGCTCCATGCGTCTGCGGCTGCTGTCCTGCTCCCTGTGGCTCAGCTCCTCCATCTCCAGCCTCATCTCCTGCAGGCGCTGCTGGAAGTAACGGGCGTTCTCCCTCTCTCGGGCTTCAGCCTGGGCGCTCTGCTCCAGCTCCTCTCCTAGACGAACCACGCTGTCCCTCAAACGCAGCACCAGCACCTGCAGATTACAGAAAATTAGGCCGAAACTGCGAGCAAGAGTCACGCAGGGATTACAGTATCAGACACGGTGATAATTATGTAGTGGAATTGGAAAAGCTTTATCTGATCTCACCTCAAACCTCTTGACTTGGCCCTTCTGAAACTCCAATTTATTTTCCAGGTCACACACACGGGCCTCTTGTTTACTGACTATGCTGCGCCCCACAGTGGATGACTCTAGGAACTGCACCCTGGACGCACACCGCTGAAGCTGCATGGGAAATGTGACAACAAAGCATTTCAATTCAACTCACACCTATCCTGTGTTCCACCTGCAGCATCCTGTTACATTAAGTACGTTCAATGACCCTGAAAGCTATTAAATTCTCATTTGAAGTGCATTCAGATCATAAAGCCCATGCTGCTGTGTTTATTTTCAGCCTGTCAAACAGATCCTACCTCTTCTTGGAGCGTGTGTCTCTGTTTCTTCACCTCCTCCAGCTCAGCTTGTAGGTCTCTGATCTGACATATGTCACTAGAGGACTGAAGGGGACAGAGTCAGACTAAAGCGGTGTATTTCCCTTCAGGTTATTAATGGGGCAGTTGATAAAAAATAAAACCTGTGCAATGAGAGCTTTGTGTTTCTTCATCAGCTCATTGAGATCTTCCTGGTCCTCCTCCAGCCTCTTCAGCAGATCCATCTTCTCATGCTGCAGCAGAGCCATCTGCTCATCCACCTAAACTCACACACAGAACAGCCATTCAGACTTGTTGCTTTTTTCTAACCAAAATTTAGATAAGATGTTAGCTTTAATTTGGTTATATATCTTAAATCCATATTTTAAATTATTTCTAAAAGATAATTAAAGAAAGAATGAATAAAAACAACAGTAAGATGGTTTTTTTTCAGGCTCCTCTGCAGCTATGACAGAGCATTAACAGTACAGTAAAATAAACAATGTAGACTTCTGGTCCATTGGGTGTGGTTTGTATATTTGTAAATATATATATATATATATATATATATATATATATATATATATATATATATATATATATATATATATATATATATATATATATATATATATATATATATATATATATATATATATATATATATATACATACACACAGGTCCAAAATATTAGCATATTGTGATCAAGTTCATTGTTTTCCATAATGTAATGATAAAACTTGTACATTCATGTATTTGGATTCATTGTACACTAACGGAAATATTTAATGTCTTTTATTGTGTTAATACGGATGATTTTGGCATACAGCTCATAAAAACCCAAAAGTCCTATCTCACAAAATTAGCATATTTCATCCGGCCAATAAAAGACAAGTGTTCTTAATACAAAAAAAGTCAACCTTTAAATAATTATGTATAGTTATGCACTCAATACTTGGTCGGTAATCTTTTTGCAGAAATGACTGCTTCAATGTGGCGTGGCATGGAGGCAATCAGCCTGTGGCACTGCTGAGGTGTTATGAAGGCCAAGGATGCTTCAATAGCAGCCTTTAGCTCATCCACAGTGTTGGTTCTTGCGTCTCTCAACTTTCTCTTCCCTCTGCAACCCTGAGGTGCCTTGATACAGCACTCAGGGAACAGCCTATTCATTCAGAAATATCTTGCTGTGTCATACCCTCTTGCTTGAGGGTGGCCATGATGGCCTTCTGCCTGGACAGCAGTCAGGTTGGCAGTCTTACCCATGATTGGGTTTTTAAGTGATAAACCAGGCTGGGAGGATTTAAAGGCCTCATGAATCATTTGCAGGTGTTTAGAGTTAATTTGTTCATTCAGTGGGTAGCACTTCTGCCTTGCAGCAAGAAGGTTCGGGGCTCAATTCCCTTCTCGATGCATGGAGTTTGCATGTTCTCCCTGAGCATGCTTGGGTTCTCTCTGGGTACTCCGGCTTCCTCCCACAGTCCAAAAACATGACTGTTACGTTAATTGGCTTCTCTAAATTCTCCTTAGGTGTGTGCGGGAATTTTCTGCGATGGACTGGCGACCTGTCAGGGTTGACCCCGCCTCTCGCCCATTGACAGTTGGAGATAGGCACTAGCACCCCTCGCGACCCCACTTGGGATTTAGCGTGTTAGAAAATGGATGAATGTATATAGATATATATATATATATATAGATTTTTGTCCAACAATAACCCATCAAAAGCAGAACCAGTGGTAAAAACTACCCTTGTGGGTATGACTAGATGCTCATAGCAAAGATAGGGACTCGAGTTTGGAATTTGACTTCAGACTCGTCTTAGACTTGTTTTTAAAGGACTTCAGACTCAACCTAGTGTTGTATTTGAAGGACTTCAGACTCAACCTGGCCTTGTATTTGTAGGACTTCAGGCTCGATTTGGACTTGTATTTGAAGGACTTAAGGCTCAACCTGGCCTTGTACGTGAAGGACTTCAGACTCAACCTGGCCTTGTATTTGTAGGACTTCAGGCTCGATTAAGACTTGTATTTGAAGGACTTCAGGCTCAACCTGGCCTTGTATTTGTAGGACTTCAGGCTCGATTTGGCCTTGTATTTGAAGGATTCAGGCTCAACCTGGCCTTGTACTTGAAGGACTTCAGTGTCAACCTGGCCTTGTACGTGAAGGACTGTAGGCTCAACCTGGCCTTGTGCGTGAAGGACTTCAGACTCAACCTGGCCTTGTACGTGAAGGACTTCAGACTCAACCTGGCCTTGTATTTTAAAGACTTCAGGCTCAACCTGGCCTTGTGCATGAAGGACTTCAGAGTCAACCTGGCCTTATACGTGAAGGACTTCAAACTCAACCTGGACTTGTATTTGAAGGACTTCAGACTCAACCTGGCCTTGTATTTGAAAGACTTCAGGCTCAACCTGGCCTCCTGTTTGAAGGACTTCAGGCTCAACCTGGCCTTGTATTTGAAGGACCTCAGATTGACTTAAACTTGTATTTGAAGGATTTCAGGCTCAACCTGGCCTCCCGTTTGAAAGATTTCAGGCTCAGCCTAGCCTCCTGTTTGAAGGACTTTAGGCTCAACCTGGCCTTGTGCGTGAAGGACTTCAAACTCAACCTGGCCTTGTATTTGAAAGACCTCAGGCTCAACCTGGCCTCCTGTTTGAAGGACTTCAGGCTCAACCTGGCCTTGTTATTGAAGGACTTCAGATCAACTTAAACTTGTATTTAAGGGATTTCAGGCTCAACCTGGCCTCCTCTTTGAAAGACTTCAGGCTCAGCCTGGCCTTGTGCGTGAAGGACTTCAAACTCAACCTGGCCTTGTATTTGAAAGACTTCAGGCTCAACCTGGCCTCCTGTTTAAAGGACTTCAGGCTCAACCTGGCCTTTTATTTGTAGGACTTCAGACTCGATTTGGACTTGTATTTGAAGGACTTCAGACTTGATTGAAATCGCAATTTCAGACTTGTGAACAATATTTTATTTTTAAACGTTCCTCTGTTTTATCACTTTTACTGTCTGATCGCCACTCTTCTTCTTTTCTTACCCGGATGCAGTAGAGGGATGCAGGAACGAGTTTTTAAGAGGAGCGGTCCGTACCAAGCATAGATGAACACAATGTGTTGAACATTGAGCTAAAAACTGTTTTTGTAGATCTCGATTTAAGCTAATCACTAGGTAAACAGTTAGGCAGTGTTGCCTGACAATATGTTACATTATTTTTATAGTATTAAAATAACGTGATATACAAACAGTATCAGTGAAGCTAAACAATTAAGAGTAAAGTTGTTTTTAAAAAATGAGTCAGCATATTTATGAACCAGACCAGAAAGTCAGGTTTTGCAAGTCCAAGTCTCAAGTCTTGAGAGCTCGAGTCCAAGTCAAGTCTCAAGTCTTGAGAGCTCGAGTCCAAGTCAAGTCTAAAGTCTTGAGAGCTCGAGTCCAAGTCAAGTCTAAAGTCTCAAAATTTAAGTTGTTTCTGTTTTGGTATCAGTTTTGAGACGACATCAGACATCACTTTGACCCGGACATGGACCCCGGTCAGCCTATTAGTGACCTGTGGTTTATGCCTGATGCAGCCATCTTGTAAAGCTGCAAGGTTCAAAAACCTTTGTGTAGCTGGGTTTGGTGTAAAGGGATGCAGAAGATTAAAAATCAAATAAACAAAGATGATTCATACTTCTTAAAGCAAAGGGATTTTAACAGCCAGTGTCTCTGTAAAGCGCCTTGAGATGACGTGTTATGAATTGGCGCAATATAAATAAAATTAATTCAATTCAATCCAGGAGTCCGGCTGGTGAGAAAGCAAATTATAGGTATAACCATGAAACTAATAATCATTAATTGGTTTTACCCTTGATTTGAATGACCTATTAATTAACTATAACTTTTAGTTGTAGCTAATTAATATATTCTGTCAGGAAAGTCTGTGTATGTGTTTTTTGGGTGTGTCTCCCTTCCTCCACCAGGGGGCACCTGGTTCCGGTCCGCCTCCCTACACACCTGCAGATGGTTACCTCATTACGGAGCGCTCTTAAGCTGCTGACCGCCACTACCTCGATTCCAGAGTGTTTGCCAGTTTTGGGTACTCTATCCAAGCTGTGTTTTGCTGAGTCAAACTGAGTTCTTGTCAACCTGAGTTTTAATCTGATTTTTCTCTTTGCCTCTCGGCATGAAGTCATCCTGCAAACTGGATGTTTTGGACCTTCTCTCCCTGGAAGGATCATCTGAGCTTCAAACTGAGTTGAGGATTCAAACTGGAGGTTTGAATCCACTTTCCCTTAAGAGATAATTTTAGATTCACACTGAGTAAGGGATTCATCTCCACTATGACCCGCTCAAGTACCGCAGGAAATCTGAGTGGCAGTGAGCTTCTCCGTTCGCCTATAAACAACCGCATTCTGGGTAAACCCTGTCCGCCCTCCACCGAATCAGACAAACACTGGAACATCCGCACACAGACTGGAGTCTAAGAATCAGCAACTTCTCTGGAAACGTGAGTTATCTTCCAAATTCTCCTCTTCAAGTTTGAGAATCAAATTTCCTTCTGAGCCTGAACACCGCAGTGTCTTGCCCTCACCTTTCAGTTCTGGTTGAGCAGTGTTCAGAGCAACAGAGGCAGGGAGGAAAGCGTCATTTTATATCAGATTAAATCAACATTTTTCAGACATCCCAAGTCTCCTGGAAGTTCGGGGAGTCTCCCTGATATCGTGTTGGATAAATTATTCCGGATTTTAGACTATGTGAGGTGGTGTTTTTTCAATGCGAGTGAGAGCATCATGTGTGGATTAGAACTACTATGATTGCACAGACAACAAAAGAGAGCCGCGTGTAAGGAGGAGGTGCTGGGGAAACCTGTGCAGCGTATCTGTCCAAAGCGATGCTTTGTTCAACTAGTGTTCCAGGCGACTGGTTGTCAGAGAGCTGATTGGATCAGTCTGATAAGTTTCTCTGGGTTACTCTCTGGCAGTCACCTAGTTACCACTCAAAGCTGTGCATCCTGGGAAACGGCAGAGGTTGAATTCTCGAGTAAAAAACGAAAACATAGGACTAATCTTACAGCAGAAAATACTAGTATATCCACGTCTAGGGAAGGTGAGGAACAGGGGCGGATCTAGACCAAATGTACCAGGGGGCAAGGAGGGGGCCAGCGTGTTTTCATGGGGGGCACAGAAAAGCATGAAATAAAAAACAGGGCAAGATATTCAAATATATTAAGAGAGCTGCATGAAGTGAAATTTCTTTTCAATGAGGTTCAACGAAAATTCTATTTCTTATGTGGCGTACATTTAA